ACGACTTCTTAAGAACATGTGGGTATGGTGGACTTTAAGATTCTTTTACCTTTGTTTCTGCCTAGTTTCCAATGATCGTTAACGAATAAATAAGCAAATTTTCTTTCTCAGTTTTACAGAAAGGATTTTTAGTCAAACTAGACGATCGTGGCGCTAAGCGTAGAAGCGTTTGTTATGTCTCGCGCGTTACGAGAATTTTGCAGTTTATCAAAAATGAGCAAGCATTTCCGTCAGCTATGTTATAAAAGGATTTGCTCATGCTTTTAGCTGTACGTATATCGAGTTATGGATGCACTTGGGAAGTTTGGAGAGCAATCAAGAAGCTAGAGTTGCTCTCGGCTGCGCCTCGAGCAATTCTTACGCATCTTTCGTGCTCTCCAAACTTCCCGCGTGCGTCCATAACTCGATAAACGCACGCTAGGCATGAACAAATTCTAAAATTTAGAATACGAAAAACAATAAGAATATATACACTACTACAACAAAAATCTAAAAAATCGATATGTAATAATCAAAATTCATTTAGCTATAAGGAAACTTAAAAAGGTGCGTCTTAAGATGGCGTTTAAAAGTATGTAAGTACGGAATGTCGCGAAGCTCGCGCGGAAGAGCATTCCAAAACTTGGGTGCAGGCTCCTGGATATATAATGACATTACAGTCACCTGTTGCATAAGGAAAAGGTCCTTGAAAACGGAATTAAGTTGTAGTAAACTGTTAACTAAAAGAAAAAGAATCAAGGAAAGCGGTTTTTAACCGGTTACAAACTGAGATATCAGTGTGTAAAGCAGAGGCACTCGTCAGACGAATAGTATTTAATTGGGAACGTCAACCAGCTTTTGTCATCGAAAACAGTGATTGCTTACCAATACAATGGTTTGTGTCAGCTGTTCCAGCAGAGAACGTAGTAAGATTTTGCCCACAGAAAATACAAGATGGCCGACCTCTTGAAGGTTGGTAAGTACCGCGGGGACACAAGCTGCAAGTTCTGTTCCGGGAACTGTACGAACTTGCTGGACAGTCAGCTATAAAAATGTAAAAACAAAAAATGCGTAAAGAGTCATAAATTACCTGAATGATAATGTTTAAATCGTATTAAAACATTGCAGTGTGCGTGACTAATACAGGCTAGCTTGTGTGGTACTTCTAAAAGTATGATATTCATGTCACCACCTTATAGGTCTTATAGAGGTTTCGAGACACAAACTTGGAAAAAGGTTGTTGATGCTGATGTCGTTGAAGTACGACAACATCAATATTTTTAGTTATGTACATGCTTAGTAGGCTGTATTGATTTTGACTTAGCCCTGTTTTCTGGACCCTAGGAAACATTACCAATGCAGTCTGATTCCTTTGATGTTCCGTTCAAGGCTGTGGTGAACTTTTGGCCACACAGAATACATTCTTTTTGGCCTTGATCAGGTTGATAAGTACCAAGTGGACATTTACTGCAGTTTCCACTCTCAGTATAGTACGAACCAGCTGAGCAGTTTGCTATTGAAAGAATAAAAGTGAATAGAAACTCCATGTTAGGAAAACCTTTGTAACGCTAGTACCACTATGCGACACGTTTGGACGGAAAAAAGACGAAAAGCCATAACGAATGGTAATGTTTACAGTTTCATCAGGGACTTTCACTGAATTTTACAGCTTTATTCAGCCAACAATCGTGGGAATCGAATTAAAAATAACACTCACTTATACAATTCATTTTGTCCACTGTTCCATTTTTAGGTATAGTTATATTTTGTCTGCAGGAAATGCAAGATGGCCGACCTCGTTCAGGTTGGTAAGTGCCACGGGGACATAAGATGCACTCTTGGTTGAGGGAACTGTATGAACCAGCAGGGCAGTTAGCTATAAAATTAATGTAACAATTATTATTATTCATTCAAAATATTAACACGTTTCTGATTGGTTAAAACCTCACGCATAATTCCCCATAATCAGCTACTGTTGACCAAATTTGGAAAGAATTTTGTCATAATGAAACGATGACGTCAAAATGACGTCAAAAGTGCAGCCTGGTTGCAGGTTATTAAATTGTTGACCTTGAAAACCTGGGGACGAGGTTGAGTTGTTTTGGAAGTGAGAACAAAATGGCGGAACAGTCGGCGGAACAATTTACTCTTTTCACCGCGAAATATTGTCTTAAAACATGGCAAGAACAGCATGAAGACTGACGACATCTGCTATTTAAAGTATATTTGCAGGCATGAATAGACCTTTATCTCCTAAACTTCCCGATAAAGATGCATTATCGATAGGTTAGCATGTTTTAGCTTGTTTTTAAAACTTGGAAGTATTTTTCTCGGAGGATGTTATCCACCTCGGCCTTCGGTCTCGGTGGATAACACCCTCCTCGATCTGTAGAATTCTTCATATCCTACGAAAGCCGAATTCAATAATTGCTAAATATTTCTGGCAGAACAAAACATAGCTCTGTGTAGATATTTTTCAGAAAATTCATTCAGTTTGGAATTATCAATTCAGCAGCTGCATATATTACAAATATGACAAATATGTTGTCTTATCAGTAACCTTTTGATTTGAATACGAATACGAGTACGAAATCAAGTTTGGGAAAATATTCCGAAAGTATTTTAGTCTATGGTAGTCTGGAAAAGAAACTATAAATGTTTTTGTTACAAAACCAGTGATAGCTTAAAGTTTTATCTCTTGTCTACTTTTGACAAAAAATTAGCACTAGTGAAATTTTAAAAAAATCTTCATGATTTTGTAAGACAGTAAATTTGCTACCACGGGGGATTTCGCCACCTGCACACCCAACAACGTAAGAAGAACGAGCTAAGCTCATGCATACATTATAGAGCGCACATTACTAAAGCATTCCGATTCTTTTATTGTTCCATTCATGGCTGTAGCGAGGTTCTTGCCGCAGGAAATACACTTTTTTGACCGTGAACAGGTTGGTATGCTCCAAGTGGACATGCACTACACTTGTTGCCCCCGGCATTGTAGTATGAACCAGCGGAACGGTTTGCTGTTAAAACCAAAGATGGTAGATATTAGAATATGTTAGTGATCAGAAAAAAGCCGGTTTCACTTCGCAGCAGTGTCTGAAGTATATGATGTTGAAACGGAAGGCCATTGAAGATGCACAGAGATATTACACAAAGATCACATTTGAAATGAAACCAGCCTTACTCAAGGTAGTTTGGTAAGAGTTGTGATCTCATTCACGCTGGCTGTGGCCTTAAGGTGATGTTATTAAGACAGGAGACAGCTTTTGGGTCAGGATTCTAGGCCTAGAATTTTCTCAAACGAAGGCATAGCGATCGAAAAAGCAGCTTTTCAATCCGTCTACAGTTCTATCTCCCCAGTTTACAAAACCGAAAAGTTCAGCGCATTGATCGGAGTACTAACTCCATTTCTCACTGGTTTACAAGTCGTGTGGTGGTCGAAGGCTACGCTCCTCTAGTATTTTTTCTGATTACTTACTGGACTTAAGACGAGAGAACCATAACTAAAAAAAGAGAAAAAAGCTAATTCATTTGAAGAAAGCAAGTAAAATGCACTTGAACCTACTAAAACATTGGATTTTATCCACTGTTCCAGCTGACGTAGTGGTAAGATTTTGACCGCACGGAAGGCAAGACAGCCGACCTCTTGAAGGTTGGTAAGTGTCTTATTTGATTGGCTATTACGCCAGAAGCAAACTAATGTAACGATATTAGTAAATGGACAACTTACCGATGCAATCTAATTCTTTTTCCATCCCTTTAAGCAGCGTGGTAAGGTTTTCACCGCAGGAAAGACATTCCTTTTGACCTTGTCCAGGTTGGTAAGTACCAATTGCACATTTATCGCACGCGTCCTTCTGCGTGTTGTAGTAAGAATCAGAAGAACAGTTTGCTATTGAAGGAAATACCCATGTCAGCTCATTACGAATTTTGTTTTGCTTTGAATTTCATGAAATCATTAAAACAAGTGCAAAAGAGGAGTTTGATTTTAGCTGACAAACCCGGGCTCCTGCCCTCGATCCCCTTCCGTTTGGTTGGTAATAAAGTGTATACAAACAAAAAATTGCATATATACTCTAGGACAAGTTCATTTATTAATCGCGTACCAGTCTCCCCATAACTTCTGAGTTTCCAGTGCTTAAACCTTCTATCATCAAGGGCGAATATTTTTCCAAACATTACTGGGGTATGTAGGCCTAATCTTCTGGTTCTGCAAATTATAAAAACCGAACTGACAATCTAGCAGAGCTATCATTTTCCTATGCAGTTTCGGTTATTGTCACTGTGGCCAAGTGGTAAGAGCGCTGGACTTGCAATTCGGAGGTCCCGCTCAGACCGCTGGCTGAATTTGTTTATCAAATCTTAGGCCATGCTTGTAAATAGCCAGCTAATTTACCTCCGTCAGGTTGAGATTCTTAACCCAGTTCTATTTCGATTATTTGTTTCTGATCAGGCACTTTCTCGGCTGAAATTTGCAAAATTTTCGGACTGTTTCAAGAATAAAACCCAAGGCTGGGATTTTAGAAAGGATATACTATTTTGTTTGTTGAAAATGTGTTAATACAGGTTTGTGGGGAGGAGCGTTGCGTTACGACACTAAAAACGGTTGTGTAGCAGACTACAAAAGTAACCAACAAAACGAAAAAAACCTGCACTATAAACTGTAATTGATACCCCAATACATTAGAAAACAGAAATGCCATAACCTATTATTTAAGGTAGTACAAGAGAATTGCCATCCTAAAATGGGCAGAAAATAAGAATACTCAGCCTGGGCCGGGAAAACAACATTCCTGAAAAAAAAAAGAGTGATACCGTGCGAAAAAAGAAAACTGTGCGGTTGGAAGCATCCAGCCGCACTGCAGACAAATCTTCTTGTACACAAGGTAGGAGAACACTAGCTGAAGCTGTGCGATCCAAGAATCTCTAACTCTTTTTAGCTCCTGCCACGCAAGCAGCCAGCTGCAAATGTGTAACCAGGCACAGTAACTAAAATTGGTTGGCATTATTTTTACCTGATTTGCTGTGGATTTTCCGTACATAAAACTTTTGTCCCCAGAAAAGCTGTCGCGTCCGTTGGCCCTAAAAAAATTTTGTAAGACTTCCACTTTTACATTCTCGGTTCCAGGATCGGCACGAACAATCTTTGCGGTCCGTAAAATTAAAAGAATAACGACAAGGGTCTTTATTTACAAGTGTAGGGCTTTGGAAGGTTAGAGAAACGGACTTCAAACCGGCCAAATTCTACCTTTCATCTGGCAGACGCAACCCAGAAAGTGATCAGCAATTACAGCAGCATCGTTGTTAGTGCTCCTGACTTCCAACCACATAATCCGTCTAGAATACCTATAAAAAAGGTTAACGGTGAGGTATTGGTGGGTATGAACGAAACAAGGCACTTAAGGACTGGGGATAATTCAAATTCAAAGTAAACTGAGCAATGTCCATGCATACTAATCATGAGACGAGTGCAGTTAATCTATGAGGTTCCTGCCCATCAATGCATCCATGAATTGCAAAGCCGTATGCTTTTAATTTATCATAGCCATCTATGTGCCAAAGCAAATTTGGTCCCTGAAATAAAAAGTAAATACCTTCATATATCTGCCTATCTTTGACAGCACGTCTAAGAATTTGGACCGTTAACTAGTAAATAGGAGGTTGAAGTTACCTGGGAGAAGTACTTCCGTCGTTTCAACCGGTGTTTTTTCCTTTCTGCAACGCCATCTGGGTCCATCACTTTCAAAGCCAATCGAACAGTTTCTCTATCGACAGGGAAAAAAAGGTTTTAAGTAACAAAATAAATGAAACACAAAGATAAGACTAAAGACCCGCAAAAAGCATGGCACACTCATCATAAAAGCATCACTAGCTTGATAGGAGCTAGCTGGAGCTATTTACCCTCACCTGTCTACAACAAGGTGATGATCATTTCTTAGCCTCTGATGCATCACTAGCCGGTACCCAATGCAGTTCGCAGACCCTGTTAACTCACTCTGATGATAATGATGGAAGAAACAAATTACTGCGAACATTCTTTTTTGTTAGTCTTGTCACCACACGGAAAATTTGTGACAAACATAATTTTACAGTGACAGTGTTGTAATACCTACAAACAGAATACACAGATCACGAATTAAAGAACCGTGCTATTAACTGTAGCTTAAATCAGATCTCGTAACCATTCAATGCGCGATACCCAAAGCTACTCCCGGACTTGTAAATATGTAGGCTAGACGGGTGGCTTACCGAAATGGCTGCAATAACTTCTCTTGCAGAAATTTTATGTTTCCTTCTATATAGGCCCATGCTGTTAAGCATTCGCCTTATGTGACGCATACTAAAAGGAGGAGAAGATTATATTGTAGAGTTTAATATTACTAGAAAATCCTGTCCATGTACTCAGTAACAACTGTCACTAGTGCAATGCTGGAGTTCTAAAATAAATCCCATGAGCAAAGGCTAGCAAAGCCCATATTTCGGAATAACTGAAGCCTAAATCAAAGTAGTGTTTGAGGAGTTCTTCACCTTTCAAGTTAAGCTTTATCAAGGAAAATTTAACTTGTATCTCTAATGAAAAATGATATTAAATGATGATAAAAATAAAGTTAAATAATAACAAATAAAAAATAACGGTCATCATCATCATTCCGAATAATACTGAGCACTTCTCTTGAAACATAATATAGCGCATAACAAGAAGGTAAGAAATAAATTTTTGATAACAACATCTTAGTTCGGCAGTTCCGGTGGAGTAGATGGGAAAGGGCAGACCGGCTGAAAAACAAAAATCAGATTTACGCAAAATTAGAACAGTTAACAAAGATACAAGATTGCCTATGATCCTGTATGGGTGCAATATGCCTCGGAAGGACACTTCCAGATAAAGATACAGACTCCATCAGTAGAAGCAGGATCAACAGCAGGTTCGATGACACAAACGTCATGATTCATTAGCCCTTTCAACGCAAAACGTAGAAATCAGGTAATTAATTATTATTAATTAATTTCTGCGGTTAAAATTCGAGTTGCAAATTTTGAAACGCACACAACTCGAATTTCTGCGGTTAAAATTCGAGTTGCAAATTTTGAAACGCACACAACTCGAATTTCTGCGGTTAAAATTCGAGTTGCAAATTTTGAAACGCACACAACTCGGATTTTTGCGGTTGAAATTCGAGGGGCAAATTTTGAAATGCACACAACTCGAATTTCTGCAGTAAAAATTCGAGTTGCAAATGTAAAGTGTGAAAACAATAAATGGATGTCCTATATGAGCCACGGTATTACTTAAGTCTTTCCATTTTTCTTTACCTTCGCATCGGCTTTCATTACTGGCTGTCACGCGAAAGCCCTGATAACATCCACAAGAGAATTTCCCTGGAAAGTTGTTACAACTCTGTTCGCATCCTCCATTCCCAGTTAAACATTCGTTGATATCTGAATAGCAAATTCAGAGACAGAATGTTTTTTGTTCTAAGGTGAACTGAGATTGAGAAGCCGGAAATTGAAGTACTTTTTAGATACCGACCTCTTACTATTTAGTCACACAAAAACAATAAATTGCAGTAAGATTCGGAAGCTGGAAATTCCTAGAGACTATTATTAGATGATATCAGAATAAAAGAAGACATTTATTGACACCCCCTAGCATATTCGACATAGAAAAACACTTTCTTCTCACAAGAAAGTAGTAGTTTTTACCGTCACAAATTGTTCCACCACTTCTAAGCTGGAATCCTGGTGCACAGGAACAAGTGAAGCTGGGCTCAAGGTTGATACAGCTTGCACCACAAGGCTCGCCGCTTACACCGCAACTGCAGGGACTGGGAACTATTGTCAGGCACTCGTTGATATCTGGGAGGAAATGAACAATACTCATAAAAGAAAGTAATTCGCCTGGATTGAAAGACCTGGGTGGGGTACTCCATGAATTTTTAATGGGGTGTGTCACTGGAACCTTTGACCTATACCAGACCATGTTACGCTGCATTTTGTAACTCTATTTAGAGAAGACACTATATCACTGCATGCCAGCCTCGTTCCCAGGGAAAGAAAAGTGACGCATCCAAGCCTCGTTGCCAAGGAAAGAAGAGAATCTGGGAACGAGGTTGACTGCATCCCAGATTACCGATACTCTACGATGATCAATAAGACTGCGCTATGTTTGATAAAATATTTTTACTGACTTGGCCTTTACTTACTTGAACAATTAAGGCAAACGCTTTCAAATGTTTCGGATGCTTAGAGCTTAATTTGCCCGCGTAGAATCGCATTTATTGTATTCGTGTGTGTAACTCATAACATGAAGGGCTAAGAAAAATACCAGACTATTGCTTATGCAGAAAAAGAAAATTTGAAGCGCGTATGTAGAACTAGATGTTGCAGAAAGCGAATTTTTTTCAGATTTGCGAGTGTTAAAATTGAAGTAAAATATATAGCGATCTGCCAGTTATAAAAATGATAGCAATAGTCAATATACCATGGCATCGATGACCACTTTTGGAGTATCCAGGATTGCAACTGCACTGATAAGAATCCTGTGTGTTAGTGCACACTTGATGGCATCCACCTTTGTTTACAGCACATTCATCTAAGTCTGTGGAGCGAAAAAAAAAACTGCATTTAAACTTAATAAAATCAGCCACTTGAAATTTAAACTGGTGATCTCTTTTTTTAAGCAATGTTTGCAATAATGTGCACATCCTTGGATACGATAGGTAAAAGAATATAAGAAAGTAAGTGACTAATCACGTGATCAAAAAATAAAATTTAGGAAAAAAATGAAGGGAAAACTTGAAAACGGATAAACACAAAAGGGTAACCAAGGAGATGATGACGATGGTGATAATACGGACCTTAAGTTAGGGTGGACGGCAAGGTGGAGGACGGCAACCGGAGATAAAAGTTGCCTGATTTGGCGCTATAATTAGCATATATCTCAGCCGTCCAACCTACGTCGTCCGCACATCGCGACGGTGTCTCGAAAACTTGAGTTTTTTCTTCGTGTTTTCGTCTTCAAAACATCTTTATTTTAACACAATACCGCATTAATCTGTTTCTGGAGTGTCTAGTTTACTTAAAATTGTAAACCTTTTTCAATTAATTACTTAAATTAAGAATTTGTTTATGCTTAGCGTGCGTATATCGAGTTATAGATGCACTTGGGAAGTTTGGAGAGCACGAAAGATACGTAAGAGTTGTACGAGGCGATAGCCGAGTGCAACTCTAGTTTCTTGAGAGTTTTATAACATAGCTGACAAAAATGCTTGCTTTTTGATTAACTGCACACTTCTCGTAACGCGCGCCACAGAAAAAAAACGCTTCTATTGGCTGGTTACAAACACACCACAACCGTCTAGTTTGAAAGAAAATTCTTTCTGTAAACCTGAGAAAGAAAATTTGCTTATTTATTCGTTAACGATCAATTGAAACTATGCAGAAACAAAGATGAAAGTGTCTTAAAGTTCACCTAAAGTTAAAATACTCACATGTTCGTAAGACGTCGTGAAGTATGGTTTGCATCCGGCGCTGAGAAGATGTTTATGTTTTGCTCGGCGAAATCCAGAAAACTTGTTTTTTAGCGAAGACGACTGTCATCCTACTTTATATTCATTTACGAACAATGGCTGGTCGTTACGGCTACTTGAGAAGACCTGGCAGCAGTTGTT